CCATGAGAATGGAGTTCTGATAGAGGCATGGCTTTCTAAAAGAGGAAGGGTGAGGGCCTTGTGGGCTAGGAGAAGAGATATGAAAAGACTCTGGCATCTGGTGGCAAATGGTCTCATCCAGCTGGTGAGCAAGGACAGTTGAGGCAGAGGAAGTAAGAATCCACTGTTCTACTGATAATGAATATTTACAGGCTTAACTGAGAGGACTGAAACAGGCCATCTGGATGATGCTTCGGTTGTTGAACATGGGAAACTCAGCTCCATGGCCCTTGCTGAAAGGCATTGTACCTGTGGCTACTGAGTTAAAAGCCCTCAGAACTGGGAAAATGGTGTCAGCAGTGAGGATAGGGAACTCAGTATGGATTGAAATTCTTAGAAATTTGATTGAGCTCCAGGGATGAATGCTTGAAACTCAAAAGAAATGTAAAGCTTTGCTTACTAGTGTGGAGTCACTGTCTCCCTGTGTTTTGATCTTTCTTTCCCTCATCTGACTCCTTGACTTCTGGTGCTTTAAGGAGAAAGATGAATAGGGGTTGGGCTGTGGTGTCCCCATCCTTAAAGAGGACTAAAGGCTCTACTTCTGTGCCTAAAATATGATGGGAGAACCTTAAGAAAAGGAAGGAGTCAGATTTTCATGGCTCTGATGGATACAGACCTATCACTTTGGTAGGTCTGGGTGGAGCATCCAGATTCAACTGATGGGATTTGGGAAAGGTTTGTAGTAGGGGCAGAAAGTTAACCTGACATTGTTTTTGGAGCCCTTTGTTGTATACTGTTATGACTTCACTGCTGAATGTGTAATTGATGTTGATATTTTTATATGCCTGTACTGTGAATGCCCATAAGTGCCGAAAGGGTTTCTTCAGATCATGAAGAGTCACGTGTAAACATGAACATTCATTTAAAGAAGTGCCACTTCTACTTTGGAGTTCCAAACCCTAATGGTTCCTTTGAACTACATGTTTTATGACTGATGATTATGCAGTGTGTGTGTGTTTGTACTGGGAATTGAACCCAAGGACACTCTTCCACTGAGCTATATCCCTGGCCCTTTTTACTTTTTGAGATAGGTCTCACTAAGTTGCTGAGGCTGGCTATCGTCCTGCCTCAGTCATTGGGATTACGGGTGTGTACCACCATGCCTGGTGATTTTGCAGTATTTTTAAAGAACTAATCCAACTCAATAAGACTAAAAACCCAATTAGTCAACTTGCAAGATATAAATAAAAATTACAGTGAGGGTCTGGGGATATGCAACTATGGTAGAGTGCTTGCCTAGCATGCAGGAGGTCCTAGGTTTGATCCCCAGTGCAACAAAAAGGAAAGGAAGAAAAGCACATTGCAATGTTACTTCACATCCATTAGAATGGTTAAAATTAAGACCAACAAAAAACTGATATTACCTGTTTTTGTTTTTTTTTTTAACCCATGGGCACCCAACCACTGAGCCACATCCCCAGCCCTTTTTTGTTTTTTATTTAGAGACAGGGTCTCACTGAGTTGTTTAGGGTCTTAGGGCCTTGCTAATTTGCTGAGGCTGTTTTGAACTCATAGTCCTCTGCCTCACAGCCTAGTAAGCTGCTAGAATTACAGGTATGCATGATCATGCCCATCTCCTGATAGTACCAATTATTGACAAGGATATGGAGCAGCTGGGTAAATACTGGGGAATGAAATCTACTAAACTATGTTATGTGCTTGTACAAATATAGCATAATGAATCTAGCTATTATTTATAATTATAAGGCAGTGATATAAAGTAAAATACAATTTAAAAATATATATTTATTGGGCTTGGAGTATAGCTCTGTGTTAGAGCACTTGCCTAACATCTCTGAAGCCCTGGGTTTGATCCCCTGTGACTGGTGGAGGAGCTTACTTTGACCCAGCAATTCCACTTCTAAGTATTTATTTGAAAGAAATTAAGCTCTGGGACGTAACCTCAGTGGTAGGGTGCTTGCATAGCATGCCTAAGGCCCTGGGTTCTATCACCAGTGCTGCAAAAGGGAAGAGAAGGAAAAGAAAAAAGTATATCTATAAAAACTTGAACTTGACTGTTCATAGCAGTATTATTCATGATAGTTCCAAACCAGAAACAATTCAAATATCCCATTTTCAGGTGAATGTATATACAAATTGGGATATATTTATACAGTAAAATATTATTTAGCAGTGGAAAGGAAACAGTACTAATAAGGATAACAATTAAGATAAATTTTAAGGGCTGGGGATACAGCTCATTTGGTAGAATGCCTGCGTCGCAAGCACAAGGCCCTGGGTTCAATCCCCAGCATCACAAAAAAAAAAAAAAAAAAAGATAAATTTTAAAAGCTAGAACTGGGTGTGATGGCACAAGCCTGTAATCCCAGCGGCTGAGACAGGAGGATTGCAGGTTTGAAGCCAGCCTGGGCAATTTAGAGCATCTCAAAATAAAAAAATAAACATGGTGGGAGTGTAGCTCAGTGGTAGAATATACCTGGGTTCAATCCCTGATACTACACACAAACACACACACACAAGTATGTTGAGAGAAAAAGCTCATATTATATGATTGTTTTATGTTATAAGTACATAATAGGGTTTGCAACTTAACATCAATTCTACTTAGAATTTTTCTACTTTGTGAATTTTGTTCTTTTCTCAGGCTAGTGATATATTGTACCATACTCTTGTGATGCTGGGCAGCTGCAGCAATCTGTAGTCCTTGTCAGCCACACAATCCAAAGGGAAAATAACTGTTCTCTACAGTGTACTGTGTTGCCAAGTGGAGTTCAGTAGTTTAGGTGTATTAAATGTATTTTTTTCTCTTGTTACTGGATTTTGAACCCAGGGGTGCTTTACTATTGAACTTCATCCCCACTTGTTTTATTTTTTATTTTGAGACAGGGTCTCACTAAGTTGCTTAGCGCCTCGTTAAATTGCTGAGGCTGGTCATGAATTTGTAATTCTCCTGCCTCAACCTCCAGAGTCACTCTGAAGTCATGACTTATAATGTATTTTCAACTTAGGATAGATATATTGGGACATAACTCCTTCAGATGTTGAGGAACATCTGTTTATGATTCTATGAATATGAAGTCTTTTTTAAAAAAATATTTATTTAGTTGTAGATAAACACACAGTATCTTTATTTATTTTTATGTGGCACTGAGGATTGAACCAGTGCCTCACATATGCAAGGCAAGCGCTTTACCACTGAGCTACAGCCCCAGCCCCAATATGAAGTCTTAGTATGAGCAAAAAGGCAAGTAGTCTGTGGGGATAAAGCAGCAGTTGTATAGCGTAGGATTTCAGGATAGGGAGCTGACTCTAAAACAGAAGGCTTTTTTTTTTTTTTTCCCCTCCATTTTAAACTACTAGTGGTAAACATTTAAGTTAATTTTTTCACATATTTTTTAATTGGTGCATTATAATTGTACATAACGGTGGGATTTGTTACATATTTACAAACAGCATAACAATATCATTCCCTAGTATTTCCTTTTTTCCATCCCTCCTCCTTCCCTCTTAAAATTTAGGATAATTTAACTTTGGTATCATGTAAACCTATAAGTGTGGCCAGGCTAGGTGGCACATTATTAATTACACTACTCAGGAAGCTAAGGCAGGAGGACTGCAAGTTCAAGGCCAGCCTGGGAACCTTAGTGAGACCCAGTCTCAAAAATAAAATAAAAAATTTAAAAAGGACTGGGAATTAGCTCAGCGGTAGAGCATCCCTGAGTTCAGTCCCTCGTAATTCAAAAAAAAAGAAGAAGAAGAAAAAAAAAATCTGAGTTTGAATCCTGACTCTACCTTTCACACCTTTCACTAGCTCTATGTGACTTTGAGAAGATTAATTAATATTTCCAAGTTTTCTCATTTGTAAAATGGGGATGATAATGGTACTCATATCAGAGTTGTGGACAGGATAAATTATGCCATCACTTCTACATAGTAAGTGCTAAATATTGATGGTTTATTTGGGCAGTAGTAATATTTGCCAATGCTAATAAGTAAAATGTGCGACTTGTATGTGTTAATCTTGGGATAGGTCTTATATTTTAGATTTCTTTTTTTAAAAAGGGAAGAAATGAATGAGTTGTTTATTAGGCTCTAATGGATCTTGGATGTTCTTTGAGTAGATAGCGCATTGCTATTTAGTCTTTTATAAACTTGATGTGCTATCTTTACTATATGAAGATAATGGAACACACTTATTGATTGGAAATTTTACATGACCTCTGACTATAGTGTCACTGTTCTGATTTGTCAGAAATCTTTATTACTTATTACGTTTTTTTTCCTCTATGGGGACTGGCTGTGTACTTCTTAAACAGTTCCTTCCCCATTTGACACTTTAAATGGCTGAGGAGGATTTAAGAATCTTTCCAGATAAAAGTTTCCACAGTGTGAAGTTAATTGACCAGGCTTGGGCCACATAAGCCATTTGATCTACATTTGCTGAGATGAATTATTCTAGAAATGCCTTTAACATTAACTTGGGCATTTAATGGATTTATATAAACAGTATAGTATTCTCATGGGGGGGACTATAGGACCTAGTTGGAAATCTGAAGATATTTTCTTATTTGTTAATATTTACATCCTTATTTCTGTCTGAATCAGCAGTTTTCAAGTCTGTCAATGAGTCGATAAAGAAAGAGGGAAGAAGTAAGATGATCAGGCAAGTCAGAGATTAAAAAGTTTATTAGAGGGCACTGGGAAGGTATTTGGTGTGATTGTTACTTGTTGCCTGAATACATGATTACTTTTGCATTGACACATGGTGAGTAAGAATGTTTACTTCTAGGTCTGCACCCCATGCAGCTTATATTTTAGATTCTTGAAGGCTAAGGATGTGTTAAAATGATTTAATCCAAATAAGTATCAGGAATATTCTTCATTTAATTTTATATCAATTTTAAAAATGGTTGGTTTGTTATTTGCATTTTTCTTGAATATTTTTCCTTAAGTCTGTTTAGAAACTTAGTAAGTTAATCATTTTTCAACTTTTATTACAGCACCTGATCACCTTTCTAGCAGGAGAACGATCATGGAGGTGGTGCCAGCTGAGGTGAATAGTTTGCTTCCAGAGGAGATAATGGACACTGGTATAACTTTAGTGGATGATGATAGTATTGAGGCTGTTATTGTTTCATCCCCAATTCCCATGGAGACAGAACTGGAAGAAATTGTCAACATAAATTCTACTGGTGACTCTACAGCCACGCCCATTTCCTCGGAACCAATCACAGTGTACAGTAACCACACTAACCAAGTTGCAGTGAATACCACAATTACTAAAGCAGATTCTAATACCACAGTGAAACCAGCTTTTCCAAGTGGCCTTCAAAAACTTGGTGCTCAGACTCCTGTGACTATATCAGCCAATCAGATTATTTTAAACAAACAGACATCTGATCTTAAACTTGGCAATCAGACCCTTAAACCAGATGGACAGAAGTTAATTTTAACAACTTTGGGCAAGTCTGGTTCACCAATTGTTTTAGCTCTACCCCATAGTCAACTACCCCAAGCTCAGAAAGTTACAACTCAGTCCCAGTCAGGAGATGCTAAGTTACCACCGCAGCAAATTAAAGTAGTTACCATTGGAGGGAGGCCAGAGGTGAAACCTGTCATTGGTGTCTCAGCATTGACCCCAGGAAGTCAACTGATTAATACTACAACTCAGCCCTCTGTGTTACAGACCCAACAGTTAAAAACAGTACAGGTAAAAAAAAAAAAAAAAGGGGGCGTATTAATTAAAATGCATGTTAAAAAAGTTAAACTGATTCATAGTTGTGTTTATGTAGGGTTATTAATTGCAAAGCTATTACTGAATTCTTTTGACTGTTGCTTTAAGTAATTGTGTGAGTTTTTTTTGTTTTTACGTTTGATATGTCTAATGCTTAGGAAAAAATTTCCAGAAAACTTAGAACAAGCTAAATTTTTGGCTAAATTTCAAATTAGTATATTTATAACCATTCATTCATTTGAAAATATATTTTATTTTTAGTGGTAGTTTGGTTACAAGGATGTTTTGCTGGTTTAAAGACACTGGACTTGCTGCAGGGCTATCAAAAAATCATTCTGTCAAAATTGTTTTTGGGTTAACAGATTGTCAAAGGCTAGAAATAGTTTGCTGCTCCGAGAAACCCAGTAGTAGTAGCCAGTAGTAGTGTATGCTGGCCAATGAGTGTCTCTTCTTGGAGACACTTTGCCATCATTCATGTTTGCAGTGTGGGAATGAGTGGCATATGGTGGAGGATGACATAGGCTTTAGAGTTGGAACAACTGGGTTTGAGTTGCCCTTTGTTACTTACCAGCTGTAGAATTTTAGGTCGATTACTTTTCTAGTTTTTCATTTTAGCTTAAGATGGCTATTGATTATAAAGAATCACATAGGACTCTGTGGTTCTCAAAGCATTGAGGATTCTTCAACATAGTACCTAGTATGATTAGGACCCTAAATAACATACATTAATAGTTTTCAGGTTATAGAACATACATTAATAGTTTTCAGTTTTTTATGCCCCAAAAGGCCACTACTACTCTTAAAAAATGATTCATCTGTGACTAGAAAATATTTCCCTATTTGAAAGAATTGCCTTTTAGAGAAAAGGAGAAGGCATGAGTTTAAGTAGTAAAGAAAGTGTATGAGGAAATAGGAAGGTTTGTGAGAACTTGCTCTTTCTAGACTCTCAAATGATATTTAGAAGTAATGTTTTAGTTATTGTGTTAGCAAAGAATTAGAAACTTGCATTTAATGGACTTTGCTTTTAAGAATGTTGTAATTGCCCATTTCCTTTCTGCCACTGTTAAACATATTGTTTTTTGTTTTTTTTTTTTACTTCTTGTTCATTGTCATCTCACTTATCTTTGACTTCTTTTTACTTCTTATTTTTGCCAAGGATCTCTTGGATGAGATATCTTATCAAGCTTCTTGTCCTCAGTTTCAAAACTTATTTTATCTGTTTTAGACTTTTAGCAGTGTTGATCCTCATTATAATGTTTACAAGAAACTGATGACATAAATCAGAATGCCATTTTTTTTCACTTATGAGAGAAGTTTATACATATCATTCAAAAACTGATATACTTGTATCCTCTAGTTTTCTACTATAATTTACTAAGTCCTGACAATAAAAATATTTTTGTAACTTATTTTATTGTTGTTGCTTTTATAGAACTCAGTTCTTTTTAAAAAGAACTTAAGTTTAAAATATATTAATAAAATTGAAAAAATAACAGAAAACAGAAGAAATTTATTTAGAATATTGTTATGTTTACCCAGTTACTTTTAGGCAACTTAAATATTTCCAACTCAGAAATAACCTACAAAACTCTGAAGCACTTTGAAAAAAAAACCCAAAAAACTACAAATCTATGTTTTTCTGCTTTAGACACCAGAATATTGGGGTTTATACTTCAAAAAAAAAAAAAAATATATATATATATAAATAAAATATGATTCTCTGTTTTTCCCCCTGGCAGTCCTCAGTGTTGTCTTAAGTTTAATGAGTATTGAAACTATTAGGGTATGGATAGCAGGTAAGAGTTGAAGAAGAATTCCATCTTCAAAAGTGAAGGAAAGAAGTATCACTTGAGGTCAGATATAGTAAGAGAGGTGTAGTCATGCTCGGTTACAGATATTTACACTTTCCCTGTTTTGTGTTCATAGGATATAAAAGTAGTAACTAGCTAGCAATCTGTAACTATTTATTATCTCCTAAATAATGCTAAACACACTGCCAAAAATTACTTGTATGGATTATTTGATGGTCTGACTACCTTATTTCCAAATTTTCTTTCATTCTTTTTTTCATTTTTGTCTTAATCTGCTAATCCAGGTACACTTGTTAAAAACTGATCCTAGCTGGGTGCAGTGGCTCACATCTAAAATCCCAGTGACGTGGGGGCCTGAGGCAGGAGGATTGCAAGTTAAGGCAGCCCTCAACAATTAAGTGAGGCCCTAAGCAATAACAGGGAGACCCTATTTAAAATTAAGGACAAAAGGGTGGTCTTGGTGATGGGATATAGCTCAGTGATAAAGTGCCTCTGGTTCAATCCTCAGTACCATTAAAAAAAAAAAAAATCATATATTTTGTTTTACTTAGTGAAGAAATTCTGTTCTAGGGTAGTTAGAATTCATAATACACAAAATTATGGTTCCTTAACAGAACTGGAATTGATATTTTCAGCAGTATTTTACTAAAGAAATACAACCACATGGGTGAGAAAGATTTTTCATTTGAATAATTAGGTGTACTTTTTATTGTATTGTGTATATGTTTTCCTTCTTGGTAAGTATTCTTACAGTCATTTGATTATGAAAATCAGATAAAAAAGGGAGAAATATTTTAAACTTTGGGTTTTATAGATAAGGTTATTTATTGCTAGGTATGTATGTCTAAGAACATCAACATCTACTTCTCAAGATCATTAATACCATGTATACAGAAGAAATTCTGACTTTGAGTTTTCAGTATGTAAACATTTGGGAAATATTTCTACCTTATGTCTATATTGCATCAACTTTCTAAAGTACAATTATGAATTTATTTGGGTGTGTCATAGTTTTTCAAGCTGAGTATTTTTTAACATTAATGAATTTTCTTTTTTAAAAAGTGATTTATATTTCACATACATTTTATGTGTCAGTAATATGTTCTAAGTGTAAAGTAATTTATTCTGAGTGTCAGATAAGGTGTTATTTAATTTATAATTTGAGCACAAAGAGCTCATATTTATCTAGTTCTGTGATCTGTTTACAATTTCTGGTCTATTTCTGCCATGCATGTTGGTTGTGTTTATTCATTTGAGTCATCATTTCCAGTAAAAAATAGTATTTTCAGGGCCTCAATGTTCTTACTTGCCAAAAGATAAAATTAATATTTAATGTCCTTCATGCACTAAAGTTCTATAGTTATTTTCAATCATAGGTAAATTTATGCTTCTGTATCTTTAGAAGACATTATGTCTTTGTGTATGGTAATGATTTCAGTATAAAACATTGGTTACCTCTACCTTCCTTGATTTGTGGAGAATTTTAGTTCCAAGTCAGCAATCCAGTATATAACTTCAGATCAAAATGAATAAAAGACCCACCCTTCAAGGAATTTTAGTTATAGTAAACAGTATTTCAGAGCCTTTTTCTTTATAATGGTCTTTGTTCTACCAAACTTGTCTCTTTGTGTATCCTAGGACTTTCATTTGTTCAGTTCTCTCTTTATCTACTGATATATAGATCTAAAGTTGAAAAGCTAATCATAAGATTGTCTTTAATGTTTTTATATTTTGCATCCGGGGCCAGTGTAATTATATATATACTTGGCTTCATCATTTGCACTATACTTTCTTAACTTATTCTATTCCATCTTATTACTATTGAATAATTTAATTTGAAAAAGAATATTTCTGTGCATAATGTTAGACATTAAACATTATTGTTGTTAAACATTAATTTGCAAAATTAATTTGCTTTTCATCATATACTAAGAGATTAATATAAAGATTTATAATAAAACGCAAAAGCATTATATATGGACTTGTGGATCGGATTATATTAATATTTTGGTGAATGGCTGCATTTTAAATGTTTTTAACATTACATAAATAAAATTTGTTAAATGGGCTAGCTTCACATGTGCTATTACTGTATATATATCTTTTGTCTAATTTGATTGAATAGGTGTTTTATAGAAATAAATGGTCTTCATAGTTATTTGTATGTTTCAGATTGCTAAGAAGCCTCGAACACCAACCTGTGGTCCAGTAATCACGAAGCTGATCTTTGCAAAACCAATTAATAGTAAAGCAGTTACAGGACAGACAACTCAAGTATCACCATCAGTCATTGCAGGTTATATTTCTTTACAGTTTATTAAGTTGTATATTTACCTTTCTTTTAGACTTAAAGAAGACTGATCTGCCACCTTAAAATGTTTTAAGAAATAAGTATAGCTTATTATAAACCAACCTACTTTGATAGGAAATGTCATTAAGTGAGTGCTTCAAGCAAAATGCCTTATCTGCAAATCAGTCCATCATTTTAGTCTCTTTTGTGTTTAGAAATTTACCATGAAAATAACAAAGTCTTAAACTCTAGAAATACAAGCTAACATTTATGTAGTATTTAGTATTTGCTATTCTTAGCTTTTTACATCTAGTGACTTAGGTAGTTTTCTGCCAATCCTATGATGGATGTTTCCTGTGTGGCAATGGAGGCACTCAGCTAGTAAATGGCTGAGCTGGAATTTGAACTAAGTTTGTCTATAGTGCACATGTACTAAGTCAAGTAGATTTCATTTAGTGCATATTAGAAATAGTATTTCATGATTTCAGTTTTAATTTTTTTTTTTTTGGTTTTTGCATTTTAATATTCTCTACATGCAGTTTTCTTTGGAAAGAAAATTATCACAGTGGTAGTAATTACTTAAGTGATAACAGGATTTTAGCTATATTACTTTTATCAGCATGTTCCTTAATGTTACCCAGTTATCCTTTATTATGTACTTAAAAATTTCTTATCACCAGTAACTGAACCACTTCAGAAATTTGGACTTCAGGTGTTCCATTTGTCTTTTCTTTAGCCTACCTGCCTTTGTACTCCCAAACCAGCTATTTTTGACTTGGAAATCTCTGATCTCTTGATTCTTCCATTTTCTCTTTAATAATCACATTTTCTGTCCTTAAATTCTTCTTTATTCAACATGGAGTCCATGACTCATCATTATAGCTCCCTTGCAGACACCATTAATTGTGTTTTACCTGTCTTTCTATAATGGCTTGGTTAGGCCAACTCTCACTCTGCTGTGCAAGCAGCTCCGTTCTTCTAGAAAGAATCTCACAACCATGGTGAGGGACTGGTCTTTAATTCAGAGTTATACTAACATTACTCTTGCTTTTTTTTTTAATGAAAAAGTGTAACACCTGAATGTTTTTGACTAAAGACTTTTAAGTGCTAATTACCCATTAATTTAGTCAATGCCTTTTGACTAAAGACTTTTAAGTGCTAATTACCCATTCTTTGACATGTGTATTCTTGAAGATGGTACTTTAGCTGTTAACTAATCATCCTAGTATAAATATTTAAACCACTTGCTATGGGGACTAAGAACCAAAAAGGGGGGAAAAAAGGTAAAACAAAACAACAAAAAAAAATCCACCTTAAACCACTTATTAGAGTCTTTAGTAAATTTAAAGATATAGCAATAGGCAACTCTGAAGTCAGTGGCAGTAATTTGTCATTTTTCTGGATTTGAATTGTATGTATGGAGGCTTCTCCCTACACTTCTTTAGTGAGTATGAAAGGGGATGGAAAGATGATAGTATAAGGATAATTTCAGAGAGTATTTTTCTGTTAGCTATCAGTAGAGATTCGTGAGGGTATAGGAGGCTGGCTGATGTCATGAGGGCTAAAGTAGGTGTGAAATATGGTCCCAGAGGTAAGATTGGAAAGAAATTGGATTTGGGGCTGGTTCAGGAAGTAGGGTATAATTGGTTTAAAGTAAGTAAGACTTAAAAATATTGATGAAAAATGGCCACTAATCCCCTAGGAGGTTTTGCATAGGTTGAATGAGTTAAACAAAAGGACTGTTGCATGCAGTGTTCTTTAATGTTCTTTTCCCCTATGTCCCATTTTGGGTGCTGGGGATTGAACCTGGAGGCACTTGGCCACTGAACTACATCCTCAGCCCTTTTTAATTTTTATTTTGAGACAGATTCTTATTAAGTTTCTAAGAACTCCGCTAAATTGCTGAGGCTGAATTTACAATCCTCCTGCCTCGGCCTCCCTAGTGTCTGGGATTACAGGTATATATCATTGTGCCTGGCTCATAACTATTTTGAGTTTGAGAGTCACTTCAAATTTTTATTGTGTGGGGGGATTATATGTCAACATTTGTAGTGTTTTCAGAGTGTCTGAATGAATTTTTGGCTATATCAAGAGTTCACCTTGACTACTATCATGGACTATCTTGAATGTCCATTTTTGGGTCATTTATGATGTATTGCAGATATAACTTCACCTTTTAATTGCAGACAGACCATAGTACCACTAAAATTAGTACAGAGATAGAATTTTGTTAAATTTCACTAGAATTGTTGTCATAAAGTTTAGTTTGGGGGAATAATTTCACCTTTTAACTGATTTTGTGTAGCCTTTTAAAATTCCTGGAAGCTGGCTGGGCAGTGGCACACACTGTAACTTTGTAGGTTGAAACAGGAAGATCACAAGTTCCAGGCCAGCCTTAGCAGCTTAGCTGTGCCCTGCCTCAAAAATAAAAAATAAAAAGGGATGGGGATATAGCTCAGTGGTAAAGGACCCGTAGGTTCAATCCATCATATCACAACAAGCAAAAGCATATAAGCCAAATTTTAAACCACCAATGTAACTGTTCTATTGAACTGTAGGTTTCATCATTTTTGTATTTCAACTAATATTCTTTCATAGTACATTAAGGTTGTTTTTTTAAACGATTTTTGGGCTTCTTTGTTGCATCTCTTTTCTGTCTTTTAATCAAGGTAAACATATTTGTATACAATGAGTTTTCTAAAATGTAAATCTGTTTATGCCATACCCTTGCTTAAAATTTTCTTGGCCTTATTTATTTCTTGACCTTCATTCATCAGGATTAAGTTCAAATGATAGTGCTTTCTTAGCATTAAAAACATTTTTGATCTAATATGTGCTTTTCATCTTATTAGCTCCAAGCCTACTGATTTATCTATTTTGAGAGATCACCAAATGATCATATTCTATCAGGACTAGGGGTCATGGTGCTCCCAGTTCCTTTTACATGGAACACCTTTCTTTGCTCTTCCTTTGGCTAATTTATCTATTTTGTTTTTTGCATTAGAAAGTGTCTGATTCCTGGGCTTAGTTAATTACTCTTATCTTTCTCTCTTTTTAAAATTCTTTTTAGATATACTTGATAGTACAGTGCATTTTCACATATTATACATACATGGAGCGTAACTTCCCATTCTTGTGGTTGTACATGATTTGCAATTACCCTGGTCATGTTATCATATATGAAAAAAGCAAAGTTGTGTCCGACTCATTCTACTGTCTTTCCTATTCTCCTTGCCCCTCCCTTCTCTTCGTTCCCCTTTGTTTAATCCAGTGAACTTCTATCTCCCCACCCCTTTTACCATGTTATCATCTGCCTATCAGAGAGAACATTTGGACTTTGGTTTTGGGATTGTTTTATTTCACTTAGCATGGTAGTTTCCAGTTCCATCCATATACCAGCAAATGCCATACTTTTATTCTTCTTTATGGCTGAGCAATATATAACATATTTTTTTAATCCATTCATCTTTTGAAGGGTACCTAGGTTGATCAGTTATTCTTCCTCTAGCCATCTTACGTATCCCCTTAAAACCTGGTGTTACCTATCAAATACTTATCACACTTGCTTTTAATTTGTTCATTTAGTCACACTATATTACAATACTTGGCTTTCTTATTTGTTTCCCTGTAGCATTTATGATTTTTCTTTTTTTCATTTTTTTCCGTATCTTTATTTGTGTGTGTGTGCCAGGGATTGAACCCAGTGCCTTGTGAGTGCTAAGTTGTGGCTCTACCGCTGAGCCACAATTCCAGCCCCACTTACGATTTTTGTTGATTGTAGTTTTTTGTTTGCCGTCTAGTTCTTTTTTTTATATGAACTTATTTTTTAAAAAATTTAAGCCAGACATGGTGGCATATGCCTGTAATCCAAGCTACATGGGAGGTTGAGATAGGAGAATCTCAAGTTCCAGGCCAGCCTCAGCTGCTTAGTAAGACCTTGTCTCAAAATAAAATAAATAAATAAATAAAAAGGGGTTGGGGGTATAGCTCAGTGATAAAGCGTTTCAGAACTTTAAAAAATGTACTATAAGTGTCTAGTTCATTGGCATTAAGTATATTCACATTATTGTACAACTGTCATTCCCATGCATCTCTAGAACATTTTTTATCTTGCAAAACTGAAATACTATATTCATTAAACAGTAATTCTTTCTTCCTTCCTCTCTTCAGCCTCTGGCAATTACCCTACTACTTTCTGTCTCTACGGTTTTAATTGCTCTATGTACCTGATACAAACAGAATCATATAATATTTGTTTTTTATGACTGGCTTATTTTACTCACTATAATACCCATTAAGTGCATCCATATCATAGTATGTTGTCAGAGAATTTCCTTCCTTTTTAAGGCAGAGTAATGTCGTACTGTGCACACATACTATATTGATGATCATTTCTAGTTTGTGTTTCTTTCCTGCTCCTTCTCCCTCCCTGTCTCTCCAGTACCTAGTACACTTTCTGGTAATTAGATGTAGTTCAGTGAATGTGTATTATTGAATATCATGGAGGCAGTATAGAGATATGGTAAGAACTGTTTGAAGACTTGGGTTTTCTTCTTGGCTCTTCTGTTAATTTTCTCTGTGATCTTGGATAAGTATGTTGTTTTTTCATCTTATTTCAGTAAAATGTAAATACCAATCACCATACAAAACTTTGGAGATGGTTAAATGAAATACAGACTTCTGCATTATCAGAGCTCACAAGGTACCAGGTTGCATCTCTTTTCTGTCTTTTAATCAAGGTAAACATATTTGTATACAGTGTTCAACCTGATAGTGGAATTCAGCAAACTTCATTACAATGTTAAGATATGCACTAGTGAATTAATCTCATGTAGAATTTGTCCTTGTTCAAATATGCCTATCCCATCCTATTTCATCCGAGGCCTTTTGGTGTTGTTTCTTTTGATTCTTGGAGATCACCTGACAGTAGAAGATAAAGGTCTTCTAAATTGATTTCAAGATGAAATTGTAACTTGGATACTTGCTTGAATATGTCTTCAGAGTTAAGGATAAATCGGGATTTAGAAATCAGATAATCAGAAATGCTGGAATTTTAAAGGATGTAAAGGTTCTTAAGGAAATTTGATGAAATCTTAAAATATTTAGCGGAAATTACCTTCTTTGGGATCATGTTATATCTGTGTAACTGAATTTTGTCATTGTGTTGTCATACAAAATTTCAGAAGAGACTTCTCTTGCCAGTCACATGCCTGTAATCACAGTGACTCAGGATGCTGAGACAGGAGGATCATAAGTTCAAGGTCATTCTCAGAAACTTAGAGAGGCCCTAAGCAACTTAGTGAGACTCTGTCTCAAAAACTAAAAAGGTGTATAACTAATTAAAAAGAAAAAACTTGGGGATGTGGCTCAGTGGTTAAGTACTCCTGGGTTCAGTCTCTGATATCAAAAATAAAAGAAAGAGAAAGACCTCTCTTCCTAAATCAACAGGTTATTTGTTTTGTTCATCATAAGAGTTGTAGTTATACACTGAATTTTTTTTTAAAGAGAGAGAGAGAGAGAGAATTTTAATATTTATTTATTTTTTTAGTTTTCGGCGGACACAACATCTTTGTTTGTATGTGGTGCTGAGGATCGAACCCGGGCCGCACACACGCCAGGCGAGCGCGCTACCGCTTGAGCCACATCCCCAGCCCCCTGAATTTTTTTTTTAAAGTGAAGTTTTAGTTTTCTTTGCTACTTAAAATAAATTTTTGTCCCTGTTTTTTAAGTGAGTTACTTCATGTGGCCTATTTTTGGTATTATACTCAGGAAGGATTTTCTATGAGAATATTTTCTGAAAGGTATGTAATGCCTGACAAATTTGAAATTAAAGTGATATTTAAACAATGAGCATTTTATGAAACTGTCTTTATTGGTACAATAATTTTTTAGTAATGGTTGTTGAGGATTCAGGCTTAGCCTATAGGTAATAACTTTGGAAAGACAAATGTGTTACTTTAGGCCAGACTCAAACTTCAGGCTGACTTTCTTAAAATATTTAATGTAGATTCATTTGGTTTATAAAGATGTAATTCAGGTTAAAAAAAAAAAGCAATATACTCCTGATGCAGCAGCACATTATCTATAATACTCATGACTCAGGAGGCTGAGACAGAGGATTTCAAGTTTGAAGCCAGCCTGAAGAACTTAGTGAGATCCTGTCTCAAAAACTAAAAGGGCTGGAGGTGTAGCTCAATAGTAGAGTGCCTTCGTGTTCAATCACGGTAACCCTGCACCCAAAATACGTGTGTGTGTGTGTGTGTGTGTGTGTGTGTGTGTGTGTATCTATAGGTATCTCCAACAGACCATTCAACTGAAATTTATTAGGGAACATCAATAAATTACTGCAAAAAGTTTTGAAAATTATATTTAAAGTATCTTAAACTTCATAAATGATAATAAAACTCGATTCACTTTAAAAGAAACAATGTATATGTTAGCATTTTAATAGGAAAATTAACTCAGAAGCTGTTATGTATCAGTCCTCTATTTTGTTTCAAGAGAAAGCCTCTTTCTTTTTCCTTTTCTCCCTCCCTTTCTTCCTTTTTCCTTCATCTTTAGCTGTACCTAAAAGTTCAATCATAGCATCTAAAGGTTGGAGGGGAATTTAGAGATTACTTAGTTATCTACCTTCACAACATACTTCTTAGATGCTTAACTTCCCTCTTTAGCCAGTAGATTTGATTAGTCAGCATCTGCTTGGAATTCATCTGTGTTGAGACACATTATATTAAAGCAAACTGTGTCACACAGAGCATATTACTTAATTGTTCTGAGTTTGTTTGTCATTGTAATTGGAAATTTGAAGTTCTTCTTAATGTTGAGCTGAATTTTTTTCCTGTTTCTGTATGTTTGATGATCATGTCTTTGAATTAGTTTCTTGCCTAGAATAAAAATTCCTGATATTTCATCTTATTCCAATATAACTACCAATCCCTAAGCCATAGTATGAAATCTGGCAAGGGTAGCTAGGAGAAACTTTTTAGTCCCTTTTGGCAGTCTGAAATCAGACAGTGTTCAACCTGAAAGTGTTCAAGTTAGTCTGTCTAATAATTGTTTCTGAAGTGTGGATTTAAATCATACACTCATGATTTAAGTTCCAATAGGAAAATAGCTATTGAAGATAGTGGAATTCAGGGTTTGAAGTTTTAAGACTTGGGATTAAGTCCTGACTTTTAGAAGCTGCGTTACACAGGGCACATTGCTTAATTGTCCTGAGCTTACTTTCTGATGGCTATAGTTTGACAAAATTGATGAGAATATAAGTAGAATTGTTTTTATAGATTTGTGTAAGTTGATACTAAGTATTACTAAGAATCATTGTTTGTTTTTGTCTAGGGTCACCACAGTGCATTAGGGATTTAGTTAAGTGTTCAGGTTCATATGGTAATTCATATGAAATAGTGAACATATACTGAAGTCCTTGTGGATATAGATCATCACATAAATTTATATACTATTATTGAAAAAAGTCAAACTGATGTGCTGCCTCTCATTTGCAGGTAGGGTTCTTTCACAGTCTACTCCTGGAACTCCATCAAAGACCATTACAATATCAGAAAGTGGTGTTATTGGATCAACTTTAAATTCTACAACACAGACACCAAATAAAATAGCCATCTCACCTTTGAAATCGCCAAATAAGGTAAAAAAATAATAATAACCACAAATGCCAAATGTTGTGGTTTATGCATTTTTTTTTCTACTAGTCACTTACATACTTCCATTTTCATATATTTCTAAGCAAGTAATAGGCACTCACTGAATACTGGGTTTATCTAGTAATCAAGGATTTTTCTCCATATTTTTATTGGTACATTATAATTATACACAATGGTGGGGTTCATTATTAAATATACATACGTGCACATAATATAAGAATATAATTTAGCCAGTATCATTCCTCATATTTCTCCTTTCCCTCTATTTTTCCTCCCCACTCACCCATCCCTTTTCTCTACTCTTTTGATCTCCCTTTAAGTAATTAGGGATTTTTGACAAATAAACACTTATTTAAATACAGGGTAACATAGTAATCATTTTGCATGTTAAATTGATTTCTGTGGCCCATATGAATATGGGCATAAAAAAAATCTTTTGAATGAAGTTGTTGTATAAGTATTCAGTTTCTGTTCAGTTAATATTTAGCAAAATTATTATCTTTGGGGAATTTACATATATAGAAACTATGTAAATATAAAATGTAACTTCTTTTATGGAGATTTGAGCCTTTTTTGGATAATAGGACTCAGAGTACTAGAATTTGCTAGTAGATGCTGGTAACCATAATACAAAGTACATTTTATTCAGAACATTCAAAAGATTTTCATAATTTGTTTTCATTTTAAGGTGATAAAGTACCTACTATTTTACTCTTAATAATTAACTCATTTTTATAAAATATATAGATGTCATTATACTAACATTAAAAAGTTTAAGTTATGTTTAAAGTCATATTATTCAGGTAGAAAGCCAAGCATCATTATTCTATAAGGTGCCACCCTTGTGCCTCTGGAAATGTATTACCATTTGTACCTGCCTTCTTCCTTGATTTGCAACTGCTTATAAATAGAACAAACATTAAACATTTGCCTTACATTTTTTAATAGTCTAGAGGTTGACTTCTATTATAATGGAACTTGAATATAATGTATAAATACGACGTCTCTTACAGTTTATTAAACTAGGCATCTACCTGCATAATCATATGGACAATTTTTTTTTTCTGAAATGGAATGAATCAGCAGATATTTGAGTGCTTACTGTATGCTATGCATAGTGATAGGCACTGGAGAAAAACATAAGATAAGGTTTTTAATTTCAGGGAGTTCAGTAAGGGAGTTAGACTGAAACATAAATAGTTGCCCCACAGAATTATAATATTTCCAGGTGAATTGATGAGGGGTGTGTGTGTGTGTGTGTGTGTGTGTGTGTGTGTGTGTGTTAGGGAAGGTTTATGCGAAGAAGTCTGTTGTTGAAAGATATTAACCTTAATGAGTGGTAAGACTTAGCTGTGAATGAGCAAGCAGAAGGGGCTTTTTGGATTGAGGCTTTACACAAATATGTAAAAGTGTGCCCCTTTCAAGGAGTTACGTTGTTTTAATAGTGTGAGAGCCATCCTAAGATTAGTTGGGAGATATTACTATTTTCAAGGATGTTTGGATTTTCCTGTTCATAAAGACTTTCTTTGGCTTCTCATTGCTTATAGGATATAGTTCTCACCTTGTCTACATGTTGGATCTAGGAGTTTTAATAAATACTAATGCTTGGTTCTCATATGCAGAAATTCTAATGTAGTCTTTCTGGAGTTTGGCCTGATATCAGAATTTTTAAAAGCTCCCTAAGTAGTTCTAATGGTAGCCTAGATTGAGAGAGCCACACTCTAAATAAGTTGATTCATATTTTTAAAAAGCAGATTCTAGCTGGGTGCACACCTATTTCCCAGTGACTTGGGAGGCTGAGGCAGGAGGATCTTGAGTTCAAACCAGCCTCAACAACTTAGGCCCTAAGCAACTTAGCAAGACCCTGTCTCTAAATAAAATATGAAAAAGAGATGTGGCTCAGTGGTTTAGCACCCCTGGGTTCAATCCCTGGTACCAAAAAAAAAAAAAAAAAAAAAAAAGACAACAACTTCCTGCATTGTGAAAGATGGTATTGGGAGAAGGTAAACCTGGATTCCGGGAGAGACCAACTAGATTAGTGATTTTCAATGTTGACTATACTTGGAGTCCGCTTGAAAAAAAATGAATGACTGACCCCACTTAAGTTAGGATCTCTAGAGTAGATCTAGATATTAGATTTAATATTTTAAATTCCAGATTATAGGGTAGGATAGAGTATCACTAATTTGGATTATGATAATAATTCAGGTTTGAGCAGGCTAGGGGTAGAGAGAAAGATTTGTTAAAAGAGGTTTAAGAAATAATGACTAGATGTCAGGATCTCAAGGAGGGGGAGAATCCAAGGTGACTCCTAGATTTATGACTTGAATAACAAGATAGATGGTGGCACTGTTGACTAATGTGATTGGTAATATGGGTTATACCTGATGATATACAAATAGAAGCTAGCTTTTTTTTTTTTTTTCTCCATTCTTGATTTTAACCATGCCATACTGGGTCTTCTTTCCTTACCCTTAACAAGAATTCAATTTAATTTTTTTTTTTTTTTTTTAGTTATAGATGAACACAATGACTTTATCTTGTTTATTTATTTTTGTGTGGTGCTGATTGAACCCAGTGCCTCACATGTGTTAGGCAAGCACTCTATTACTGGGCCACAACCCCAGCCCCCAGAGTTCACTTTTAACATAAGAACAAGCCTGATTTTGGTGACTCACAGGTATGAGAAATTTTGTCAAAGTTTACATCCAATTTAAGTCTTCTCTTCCCCTCAACTCAGGCTAATCCTAGCTCAGGAATCTGTAGCGGAGGAGAGAAGTATGATCTATTTCTTCACTCTTCTACTCCCCTGATACTTTGGCTTATGATTGGAAGGAAGATTAGAAGAGAAAGGACACAGTTTTTTATGTCTGTAACTTTTGTACTCCAGATGCCAGTGTCATCTTTGTGGGAGGTATCTAATGGGGACTTCTAGAGATGTGTCTGTGGGATGATTTTTTTTTTTTTTTTAGTCCCCCCTATGGGTATGTTCACATTGCCCAGTTCCTTCAGCATATGTAGCTATTTTTTGTAATGTTTAGTTCTTGCCTCCTATAGTCCACCCTATACTCTGTTACTGCTGCATGTTTTACTCCAGAAAGCCCTTTTTTGGCAGGATCCTGTCAATGTCAAGATGCCTTAGCTCTTTGCAGCACTAGTTGGCCAGTGGGAAACCTGTACAACCCAATGAGAGAAGTGCAGCTTGCCTGACAGCTTGTCCTTAGTATCCTTCCTCTGCCATTGTGATAGCTCCATCCATCTTCTTTCTTTCAGAATTTTCCAGGCTGGGACCAGTTTCTGTGTTCACGTATTCCCTAAACTCCTGAAGATATGTGTTAGGTACTCCTAAGAACTTTGACTGCATTTAATTCTGGTGGCTAGACTAAGATAAGCTTGAGAGTTTGTTAATCTTAGTTGCTAGCTGATGATTCATAAGTCAGTTTCTCCTTGTTTCCATTTATCACCCATTCCTAGACGTTTTCTTGGTTCACTCCTGCTGTAAAGCCCTACTTATTCTCTATATTTATGAATTCTCTTCTCCTAATTTTTTTTTTTTTTTTTTTTTTTAAAGAATAGAAGGTAAGTGATAGGGATGCTATCTTTTAGTAAGTCTGGCATGAATGTCATGTCCTTCTTTTTAGAGTAAAGGGGAGTTTACAGTTTGTAGTTCTCAGCTTTGGAGCCTTACTTCAGCCATATTTTGAGACAGGAGAAAACATCTCATATCTTAGTCTAGAGAGGGAAGATAGAAGGAATAGCTAATTTAGACAAAAACGTATTTAGTTCTTAGACATAATTGTCATTGAATCTGCACTGATTATCTACAGGAGGATACCTAATAGGAAGCTGAGTGGAGGCAGTGACTGAAAATATGGATATAAATAAGATCACCCAAGGAGCATTCAGTTGTATGTAGAGTGAAAAGAAAAACAGGACTGAACCACAACATATAAAGTGTCTTAAAAGGCCCAATGGAAGAGAATTAATGACAAGAGAGGTGGTAAGAAAAACTTCACGAAGGGTGTGAAGGGAAGGATATTCAAGAATGACACTGAATGTTGGGAAAGACAGTAGAATGAATCAGATATAACTTTCCTATTTACATATATGAATATAATACAGCCAGTGTAACTCCACATCATGTGTAACCACAAAAATGGGAAGTTATACTCCATGTATATATGATATATCAAAATAGATTATGTCATGTATAACTTAAAAGAACAATTTAAAAAAAATCCTTCACACAAAAAATGAACTTGGCCAAATCTACATGGGATAAATTGATCAAAACTGAATACACACCTACAAATGTAAAACTGGGAAAATCTGAATAAAGTCTTTGTATCAATGGATTAAAAAAAATGATACTGAGCCATAATTGCAAATGTCATGGAAGAGTCAATTAAGAAAAAGACTAAAGCTGGGCATGATGGTACACACCTGTAATCCTAGCAACTCTGGAGGCTAAGGCAAGAGGATTGCACATTCAATGTCAGGCTTAGCAATTAACAAGACCCTGAAAATATTTATAGTCTCAAAATAAAAAATAGAAAGGGATGGGGATATGTTCAGTGGTACAGCTCCTGTGAGTTATGTCTACAGTATTAGGGGAGGGGAGGACTAAAAAGTAAGGATTTTCTGGAAATGTACTTGTTGCAATTGATAGCATCAAAACCCCAAAACAAAACAACAACAAAACCACCCCAAGCATTGACTGTTCCCTTTCTGCTCACACACACAACCTGACCACCCCTGTCTACCTTGACTCTGCTGGAACTTCTCTCATTATTTATCCCTTTTTTTTTCTTTTTCTCACACATTTCAATTTATTTTCATTCATCACTTCTCAAAGTGATTTAACATCCTTTTTTTTTTTTTAACATCTTCATACATGTATTTTGTATGATGAGGGTCTCCTTTCACTATCCATGCTATTCCCCTTCTCCCTCCCTTTCCCCCCTACCCCTATTCCCTATCTAGA